GAGAATTTGAGAAATGATAATTCTTAAGACAGCCTAGAAAGCAGGGTAATACATGAGCAACAAACAAACAGTGTGAATGCTACAGCAATGTCGGGGGACTGTTCTAGGCAAAAGATGCCCGGCGCAGGGTAGGAATGTGCTCCTAGAGTTTTCTGGTCCACTTCTGTGCCAGCCCCTGTCAGCGACCATCGCTGTCACCTGTGGCAGGCCTCCCCAGCGGGAGAAGGCCGCCCTCACCTACATCACGCAAACTGAGCCGGCAGAGTTCCACCTACTGCGTTTGTTTGTTTGTTTGTTTGTTTGTTGTTTATTTCTTCTTCTGCCAATTGTGTGTGTCTGAGCTGTTGAGTACCTTTACAGAAGTGAATCCCCGAAGTCATGGGTCCATCCAAGGACCTACACTGTGATTCCCATATTCCAAACAAAAACACACTGACATTAGGCTGGAAAGCTGCTGAGACAGTGTTAAGTAAGCAACAGCCCAATGATAACCAAAGAACCCGCCTTTTCCCAATACATGAAATAACACAGTAAGAGTCCACTTTGCTCTTAATTTCGGTTGTATCCCTCTTATTTCACATGGTCAGACCTAATAGTATCATAGGTAATAGTTTTAAACTTAAAAATAATTTAACAATTGTTTGTAATCTCTCTCTCTCTCTGTGTATATGTGTGTGTGTGCCTGTATACACATGCGTATTTTCTATGTATATAGATACCGATGGCACTGGAGAGATGACTCGGTATTTAAGAGCACTTGCTTATCTTCCAAAGGACCTGAGTTCAGTTCTCAATACCTATGTCAAGCTGCTCACAACAATTTGTAACTCTAGATCCAAAAACTCTGATGCCCTCTTCTGGCCTCCAAGGGTACGTGTATATACATGTCATGAATGTCACATACACACACAAATAATAATAATAATAAGTAACACATTTAAAGAGCCTTCATTATATACATACTAGACATAAACACATGTTGTATGCACAAATTTAGACACATAGATATTAGCTGATTGTCATGTACACAGAATGTCAAAAGATTAAAAGTGTTTAACTAAGATCCAAGACATAATACGTATTTATGGATTTTTTTAACTTAGCACATACAGATGTGTATCCATTTACCCTCCTTTAGTGCTAAAACAAGAACACAGATATATAGAGATTGTATTCAGTGTTTTTAAATAATGATGTGTGTCAGCCTCCCAAAAAGAACAGTCTTTACCTAATAGCCACGTGACAGAGGTTCTCTGTCCCCATCATTGCCTACCCACTCTATAACACCTGGTCAGTTTAATACTGAGACATTCACCAATTTCATTCAAAGTTAACCTAACCATCTAATTGATTTGTATCTGCTAATGACCCCAGAGACTAGATATTTAACTACAAAGATTACTGGAAACATTTGCACAGGAGTTATAGTCTGAGGAAAATCTAAATTAAGTTCTATATATACAAAAGAACACATCTCCTGGGTCAACTCCATTGCACATGAAATAATCTTGTTTCTCACCTACTCTATGTTTTCCTTCATGTAAAATTATCCTCTGTTTCAGAAGAGACAGTAAAATAAACATCTGTTCTGCTGAGAGACAGCTGAATTTCAGCATTTTGTTTATCTACAGGTGCTGACGTGGGAAACACTAAAATTCACCATTGTGTTTCAGTATTTGCTTATCTCTTACCTAAAAAATTCAAAATCCATTCTGGTCAATCATTTCCAATCTCTTGACATTCATCCTACTTAAGTTTCAATCAACCAGTCAACAAGTATTTATTACCCTACCAAACTGGAGAAATATGCATAGCAATTGCAGTAAACTCCTTTTAAAGTCAGATAGTCTTTGAAGAGAACATTGAAAAGAATCATTACGTACACATATATAAAGGCAAAGTAAAGGTTATTAAAAAAATTGTTACTTGAAGCTGGACATAGTGGAGCCTGCTTTTAATTCCAGCACTCAGGAGACAGGGCAAGAGGACCACTACAAGTTCAAGGACAGCCTGGTCTACCTACTGAGTTCCATGTAAATGTAACTCAAAAGAAGATTTTATAATTGTTGCTTGGCTTTCAGAGTTTGGAGTGAGTTTGTTTCTACATGTATCTCTAAGCTAAATGGCTAGTGTAGGTTCTTGCATTTACCAGCTGGAATTTTAATTCAGTGAATTTATCTGAGTTAATCTTATTTACAGTTATGAACTACAGATATGGAAAAACCCTAAATGTTACTAGTAAGTTATATTTTAAACAAATGCAATATTTACTCTTGACTTCTAAATCTCAATTTCTTGGAAAAAGCAAATTCCGTTTTCCTCCTACATGAAATGAAGCACACCACATGACTGTTAGACAGAATGGGGTGATTGGCAGAAGCTCGACCCCATCATACACCAGCCAAACCCTTGGAGTGGCTGAAAGAACTCACCGTATCAGCTAGCTAGGAGCACCTATGGTACATATCTTGTGCATTTAACATAGGAGGAATTTGAACACTAAAAAGCATTTCAGAAGTAGTGACACTTAAATATATCAATAAGTCCTAAAGGGAAGATAAAGCAAATGGCTCAGGAAAGCCTGCTACTTTGTATGCCTAGCAAAAGGAGTAGAGGAAGGGGGAATGAAAGAAAAAAAGTCTCAAACTGAAACACAATAAATTTATTTGAAATATAGATTATATCATATTATCTATCTGGTCAATAAAACAAAACCAAAATATCAGCCAAAAATGGGAAATGTGAATTAAAAATACTCTTAGCTAGAGTCTGGGGTTCCACTTCCTCTGTGGTCTTACAGGAGTTGACCTTCACTCCAGTTCCTCAAGGTCAAAGGTCAGCACTAAACAGAACTTTCTCTATGACCTCCTGTGCTGTCTGGATCATTTGTCCCTCCTCTAATGCCTACTGCAGAGTCCTTCCTTCTTCAGAGCTGTGCCCTTCACCCTTCACGCTCGCATTTTCCTTACCATCCACCCCCCCACCCCACTCTGTTCAGTTTGCCTCCACAGTTGCCAAATTAAGTACAATTCACTTGGTCTCGTTTTGTATTTTGAAATACCATGTTAGTTTAAAACTTAAGAAATTCCTTGTGCCAAGAATTGTAAATCTAAATTCAGCCACTCAGAATGAACACTGATGTCATTCAAAATGTTGGATATGTCTTCTGTCCTTCAATTAAAGCAAGATACTACTAGGGACAAACCAGACTCCAGCCTTTTTTCACTGTGCATCCCATAAACTGATAGTGCAGTCTTCCCGAAGCTGAATTGTCAGGAGAGCCTCAGCCCTCTCAGGTGGAGCCTTCTACCTGGCTAGTCCAGGGAAAGCATGAATAGATTTCTTAAATGATTTACCAATTAAAGAAACTAAATTAAAATCTCAAAGCATTCAGATGAAAATAACTGAGTATTTATAAAAGAAGTTCTTTTATAAAACAAAGCCATGTTTTTCCTTGGCTCCTGAGCAACTTTTTATGTGCACCAAGATCACCTATGTTATGTATTCCAGCTGCACAGGCTGCTGTTCTCAGACAGCCGCTATGCCAGGGACACAGGACAGAACGTTGCTAACAGACTTACCACTGACCTCCTTACTTAGTGATTGCCATAGCTAGCGTTGCTCTACCTCCACTTTGCTTCTCCTCCTGCCTTGTTTCAACCTGGTTCCATCCTGGATGCTCATCTCTGGACGCCAGCCTGCTCCCTCACCACAGAAGGCAAAGAATCAAAACTGCTTTGCCCTGCCTTTCCCTGTACAGAAGGATGCTTTTTCTAATCGCATAGGATCATTTCTCTCATCATACAGTGAGTTCGGTGAATGAGCTGGAGACATGACTCTCTTACAGTTTTTCTGTCTTCTATCTGGAAGAGAATGTGAATGTTTCACTTCAATTACAAGTTTCTTTGTTCCCAGATTAAACACCAAGCCATCTCAGGTGCCTGCTGGCTACAGAGTTTCTAAAGTAATGACAGTTTTACTTTCGTGATCTTCCTGCCAGTCATACTTCTCCGTACACTGTCAGCATTGCTCTGGCCTTGGTGAACTAGTGAGGTCTTGTCTTCATTATCCACACGGTTGGCCAACCTCCCAACTATCTCAGCTCATCCCCATAGTTGGCAAACTGTGACTTGTTCTTCACATGTTAAAAGCAGTCCCACAAAGACCTGGAGGGGACAGGGGCTCCACAAGGAGAACAACAGAGCCAAAAAACCTGATGGATCTGCGGAGACCGATACTCCAATCAAGAACTATGCATGGAGGGGATCTATACCCCCTACTCAGATGTAGCCCATGGCAGCTCAGTCTCCATGTAGGTTCCCTAGTAAGAACAGGGTCTGTCTCTGACATGGACTCAATGGCTGGCTCTCCCTGGGGAGTGCAGCCTTGCCAGGCCACAGAGGAAGAGGATGTAGCTAGTCCTGATGAGAACTGATAGGCTAGAGTCAGGTAGAAGAGGAGGAGGCCCTCCCCTATCAGTGGACTAGGGGAGGGGTATAGGGGAAAAGAGGGAGAGAGGGTGGGACTGGGAGGAGATGAGGGAGCGGGCTATAGCTGGGATACAAAGTGAGTAAACTGTAATAAATAATAAACAAATTTAAATAAAGTACCCCACAGCTGCTCTTCTCTGTCTGCAAATGGAAATCTGTGTCACTTTCTGTTAAAATACCTGATTCTGCTGCAGTGGTCTATCATAGCCACTCTATCAACATTTTAGAAGATAGTGACACCCAGTACATTGAAACTTCTACTCATGTTACTTCATACTGTCCCCACATGGAAGCAGGAAAGACCATGGTTACACTTGTTCAGAAACACATTTCATTTGGGGCCTATGGAAAAATAAACATGTGGATCAAACACAGCCAGAGCTGAGTTCTGAAGTCAGTTTCAGCATTTAAAAGATTGACATTCTAGACCAGCGGCTCCCAGAAAGACTTTGCACACAGAACACAGATAAACCCAGGGAAGCAGAAATCATCCATACTTTAGGGTCTTACCAGAAAGGGACTCCAGCAGACACAGGAGACGCACATTATGGCCAGGAGCTGAATGACCATCTCCAGGTGGTGAGACCTGCCTTGTCTGTGCTGCTGATTTTTAAACTTCACCCGTAAAAGTGTAACTCCAGTCACGGCATTGCATGAGAACGAAACACCAAGAGCTAAGAGGCCCAAGAAAGAAAAGCACAAAAGATAAAATCTGTCTTCCCAGTCTTCGATGTGTTCTGTGTTGTAGAAACACCAGGTTCTGGATGCTTGAATTTTATACTCTCGGTGTCCAAGGATGGGCAACAAAGCCACGAAAATGGCAAACATGCACACACTACTCAAGATCATTTTCACGTGTCTAGATGTAATTTTCGTAGAATGGAATATAGGGTTGGTGACTCCGATACAGCGCTCAATGGCCATTGCACTGCCTAGAAAAAGTGGGCACAAGCCAGAAAACACCATGGAGATTCCAAAAACACTGCACAGGATGTTTGATTGATCAAAGCGGATCCAGTCTTTATCAGAAGCATACACAAAAACAGCTATCCCTCCATTAATGAGATGGCCAAAGAAGTCTGTGATCACCAGGCCACTAGCCAAGAGCAGAAAGGAAGCCTTCGACTTCTGCCTGAATCTCTGATATGCCTTCATGAGAATGGCGATGGCCAGGCTGTTGGATAAGATCCCCACTGTCATGAAAATTATCGAGAAAAATACTGAGAGCCGGTTTTCTGTGTGGCAGGTTGTGTTCGCGAGGAGCCCAGCTGCAGGAGACACTGGCTGTTTGGAACTGTTCATGGACATCGTTGTCGAGAGGGAAGCTGTCCCCTCAAGTCACCTCTCCATCACAGCTGTGCAGTCTCGAATTGCAGACATCTGTAGCACACAGGACAGCAATTATGAGGACCAAATTTCCAGTCATCTGACATTTAAAACCCAGTGCCTCAGCACCCTGCGATGGGAAGGATTTGCCCAGCCTATCATAAGTCAGGTTGCAGCATTCTGAAACCAGCATGCATCTGCCTCTGGTTTTTTGTTTTTTTGTTTTTTCCTCTTTCAAGGTAAAGATGTCGCCCAAGTTGACAATTGTCAGTTCACTTCCCTGGAAGAAGAGACATCTCTGAAAACCCTCCTGAAGAGTTGCCGACCTTGTACTTCATTCGAGGTCTTGCTAAAGCACTAACTATTGATTTCAATCCAATGGAAGCATAGCAATCTATTTAAATAACTAATCCTTTAAAAACTTGTTCTTTTCTCTGTGGGGCACTGACCCCCAAGTGGGTGATCCCCAGGTGAGCCACCTGCTTGTCATAAAATGGGAGCATCGACAGGGCAGCACACAGAATCTCTCTCCGTGTGTGTCTCTGTCTCTCTCTGTCTCTGTCTCTCTCAGTCTCTCTCTCTCTCTCTCTCTCTCTCTCTCTCTCTCTCTCTCTCTCACATGCACTCACACTTTGACTCATGGAAGAGAGTGTTGAGGCTTTGAGTTCTGATCTAGCCTCCTTTCACCCAGTCAACAACCCCTGCTTGAGGTGAGGAACGAGAAAGCAGCATCCCCTGTTTCTTTTCCAGAAACACACTATCAAGTAACTGTAACCTCCAGTAAGAAGTACTGCATTTTTTCCCCTGGTGGGTTGAATCCTAAGTCACTAGCTAGAGGACCACAGCCACCCCACTGCTAACTAATTAGATTGTTTTCCCAAAGCTGCTTTCCGGTAGGCTGGCTTTAGGTGCCCAGAGGCAGAGGCAGGCGGCTCCTCTAGACTTTCGCCAGCTGCAAACCCCGCACCCCACGACCCCTCAACTTGCAACATCGCCTCTAAGCTTAACTAACTTGCTGAAACTTTTTGCAATTCTTCAGACGCTGGAGAGTTCTTTTCCGTCCCACCCTGGGGGGCGCCAAAGGTCCGCGGCAGCCAGTGGAAGGACCATGAAGGGCCGCCAGCAGAAATCTCAGGGAAAGAAGTGAGTAGCCGTGATTGCCTGCTTCTCTTCTGGGGGGTCCTTGCCACCGGGCCTCATGCACACAGTCCAGCCCAAGCACCCCACTCCCCACAGCACACCACAAATTGGGTCCAAAGTCACTGCCTAGCCTGAGGGGCTCTCCTGCCGGGCCTCTGCAGCTGTCGCCGCAGGAGTCTTCTTCCCCCGGTCGGCTGGAGAACCCAGGGCCGTGGGAATCCGGCCGTGGGAATTCAGCCACCGCGTTGCTGGTTACCTCGGCATCCTGGGCCACTGAGTGGCTGTGTCCGGAGCAGAAGAGAGCTGAGCCCCGTGTGCGTTGGCGCACCCAGCCGCGGACAGCTGCAACCTTAGGTTCCAAGGCTCACACCTCCCTAGTACCCTTTGCGCGCTGGATCACCGGCAGGACTTACTGTGTCCAGGACTTCAAGGCACCTAGAGATGCTCGCAGTCTCCGCGGGGTGGAGGGCTGGGTGACCTCCGCCCCTTCCTCGCCTCTCTCCTCTCCGCCCCCTTTTTCTGAGGCAAGATCCTCTGATGCTTTGGTCACCCAGCTGCCGCAGACGCGTTCAGCCACCAGACAGCTACGGAAAGTTTTACGTTAAACTCATTTCCAAATGAAAGAGGCCATTTCCGAAGCTGCAAGACAGGAATGAGGAGGACCAAGGCTCCTCAGACCTCGTGTGCGGGGGTAGTGGGATGCAGCTTAAAGAATGAACTCATTCCAAGTCCAGCCAAAAAGGGACACGGAAATGAGGAGAAAGGGCTGCCTGTTTGAAAGCGAACTTCAGATATCCCCAGGGAGTGAATAAAAAGCGTTCTGGCCAGATGTTGTAAGCAGGACAGCCTTAGGCTCCACTGTCACAGGAGTGCAAGACCATCTGGGTAAGAGAATGAGGGGAAAGTGCGAGCCGCAGTCCGCTTTCCTTGGCATCTACTGGCCTGGAGTTGGAGACCTTTTGGTAGCATCAAAGTCCTTAAGAGAATTTCTGATGACATCCACAACAAAGGATGTTCATCTTACAGATTTTGTATGCTCCAGTGAAGACACTCTCATTTTTTCCTTAAGAATTGTTTTTTGACCCATGTTATACTATAAATTTATAGTGTTGGATTAACTTGTACAATGGGAAGTTTGGCATTATAATTGTTTTTAGCTGATAGCCTGCACCCCACACGTGTTAACATATCATTTCTGACATAACACTTCTGTGACTGTTACTGCTCTTAATTTCTCTTCCTAACTTAGTAAAATGCTGTCACTAGCCTTGTGAAAAAACAGCACCACATCTAAATAAATCCATTTCTCCATTCCAGAACCAGAAGGTGCTTCTAAATTCCTGAAATTTGAAAGGGTTCATAAAGTGCAAAAGCAAGATAAAATAAATTAGCCATTAACTGTAGAAAAGACCGATTGCACACTTTCCCCCTGTGGTGGAGACAGAGAATTTTTTAATTGATATTATCATAGCATGTTTAAACTGTTACTTGGGTATGGTCAGAGAATTGAATGTTTTGATTAGCAGAAAAAATACTGTGCCTGGATGGCCAGCATCCAAAGAACAACCATGTCATAAGCCATGCTGAAAATGTGACAGCGATTGCCACTCTTTCCTTTAATGACTAACAGTACTCAGTCACAGTGAGGCATAGTGACGGTTTTCCTTGTGCTTTTCTCACGGAAATGACCCTCTACAGAAGACTTCTCCACCACCCCTCCATCCTCACATCAACATCTGGATACTCACCAAACCTTGAAATTAATAAATTCTAGAGTCAGCATTTCAGTTTTGGATCTCTGCCACTTGAAGGCAGGAGCATCTCACACCACTGGCTGCTGCGGCACTGGCTAAACTTGCATGCTCATTCACTGTCAACTTGCAGTACTTAATAAGGCAAAGCAATGGTGATTTCATTTTCAAAGTGCTACATAACTTGCATCATTTTTTCAATCTACTCTGCATCTGTTAGTGGAATTCCTCCTTTACAACCTCATTCCTTAACCAAGACATAGATAAGACAAACTAGACACATTTAACGTTAGCAGGGCCAGCTGCTGTCAAAGAACAATTAACTTTCAATGAAGCTCCCAGACCTATGTGCCACCCAAATCTGACCCCCTATCCATATTCCCAAGAGGTAGCCCTCCAAGGTTAATCCACAGAAAGGAAAGCTGTCAGAGCAAAACATACGAGGAGAGGGTGAGAGGCTGATAAAGCCTTCTAAAACGTAGTTTAGTTTTATTGCTGCATGTGAGAAGTTGACAATCCTATAAACTGTCCATGTACACATCAATTCAACAGATTCAGTGAGAAGTAGCCCTCTGCCAACACAGATATAACTCTTGTGTGAGCAAGCATGGAGCCCTGTACTGTGTGGGTTCTGTTAGAAGACGAACATGCTTGTGGGACATGCATGTGATAGGGTTTTGGATAACCACACTCGCTTTATAATGAATGGAGACAAAATTGATGCCAGCTTTGTCTCCTCTCAAGAAGACAAAAAAACAATACACTGTGCGTGTGTGCGTGGGTGTGTGTGCATGTGTGTGTGTGTGTGTGTGTGTGTGTGTGTGTGCGCGCACGCGCGTGTGTGCATGCGTGCAAGCATGTGCTTAGCAACCACCACTCAGGATTAGACAGCAATTTATGACACTGAAATAGAAACAAGGAGGAATGTTCGAAACTGAGTTTTGTCGTTTTAATTAAACTGCCTACAGAGTTTTATTGGAATTTGCCATTGAGAAAAGAAACATACTCCATTTTAGTTATTATGAAAGCTGCAAGTTATTCTTTTCAGTTTATTATATAAATACTTGATACATAAAAAGTAATATATGTAATACACTTGTGAGTAGTGAATTATAAAATATAATAAAAGTATCCAGTGGATTTGCTACCTAATAAAGGGTACATTCACTTCCTAGAGCTGAGTAGCCAAGTACCACGTACTGGGAAGTATAAACAACAGAAACTTGGGGCTTTGGAATGAGTAGGATCCAAGTTCCAGACGTAGAGGAAGAGGGACAGGTAAGAGGCCAGGAAGGATCTTCAATGGACCCCTTTGAACGAAGCAGAAGGAATTAGAAGCAGAAGGCACAGCTGAGCACACGTTGGTGTTTAGGGCTTTTAGGCACACTCAGGTAAACTATGTCTTGATTAAGGAATTGGACTCTAAAGAAGAAATTCCAGTAATAGATGCAAAGTAGTTGGAAAAATAATGCAATTTATGTAAAACTATGAAAAAGAAATCACTATTGTTCTGGCTTTCTGAACAAGCAGTGCAATTTGACATCGAATGAGTGAGCACTTCTGTGCTCTGTGGTCCAGAGCAGACTGCTCACTCAGCTGTCTGCCCATCTCCCTTGTGTCTGAGGATGAAAACAATTGGGCCACTATCTATGTGTGAGCTGAAGGAGCCTGTTACAGGCTGAGCACATGACAGATGATACACAATGTCTGTCTTTTAAGAAACATGTATTTTTTTATTCTAGGGTTTTCATTAAAGATTAGAAAATCAATGCCATATTCACTCACAGAAAGTGGGGCTTAAAAGGTCCACCCTGCCCAACTGTAGAATAAAGGCTTAACATACATATAAGCTATTCAAATGGATGCACAGTGATCACTTACACAGTTCTTTCTTTAAGTTATCTGTGTTAGCTCAAAGCTACCGTGAGAGAAGCAGAGATATTTTGAAAAGAGGAAAATATTCATATTCTTTCCACCTGAGCAAGATCATTTTAGAAAGATGTCCAAAACACTTTGTTTTTTTTTCACATATTCAATTATTTATTTTATTACATGTATATAGAATATAGAAAATAGACATATGCATACATT